TTGCTCTCATATTCATATGAAGAGAAATGACGATATGTTTTCACGTGTACAGTGGTACCCCACTTAACGCGGTCAATTGAACCCAGAGGGTCCCGCGTTAAGTGAAAACCGCGTTAAGTGAATAACAGAACATATGGGATTAATTCCAATAGAACCCAGCCCGACCCCCAAACTCCACTTTTTGACGACAAATAACTATGTTGTAGTAAAAATAACATCTTAATTTTATGATGGTACATGCACACAATTAATACTTAAGAGAAATAGAGAAATACAGTCGCCAAGTTAATGTCCATTCAAATAATGGACTCAACTCCCTCCCCCTCTCACACTACACAGCCAGCTAACAGATGGTCGGTCGGTCCCTCCCTCACACCCCCCACCAACCGTCCCAAGGAGATGTGTGGGATAACCTCAAACTAAAGTTAGGAAAATATAATTGACATTGCTGGATTCCTTGTAAGACCAGGAATATTTTGAATATAAATGTCATATATTTTTCACAAAAGATAACATAATTACCTAGAGAACAATTTTTATCTAAAAATTGTATGTTTAATGCAAAATATATGTTGTTTATATTCAAAATGATCACCAAATTATAAGAATTCCAGCAATGTAAATTATATTCTGGCCGGATAATTTGTATGAATTTTATGAGCTAAAACAAATATCTACAGTTAATAAAAAAAAAAATATATTCTTCAACACTATCTGTCAATCAAAGTACCCCACCTTGCCTCCCCCCCTCTTCCAACCACGCAGTCAGTCCCAACCCTCCCCCCACCCCCCACCAATCCTCCATTCAAGAGTTTTTAACATTTAGTATTAAATAATACCTCAGATTAAAGTTAGGATAATATAATTGACATTGCTGGATTCCTTGTAAGACCAGGAATATTTTGAATATAAATGTCATATATTTTGGACAAAAGATAACATACTTACTCAGATTAAACATTTTATCTAAAAATTGAATGTTTAATGCAAAAAATATGTTGTTTATATGTAAAATGATCACCAAATTATAAGAATTCCAGCAATGTAAATTATATTCTGACCGGGTAATTTGTATGAATTTTATGAGCTAAAACAAATATCTTCAGTTAAAAAAAAATAATTCTTCACCGGGTAACAGATGGTCAGTCGGTTGGTCCCTCCCTCCCCCCCACCCCCCACCCCCCACCAACCGTCCCAAGGAGATGTGTGGGATAACCACTAAATTTTAATAAATAATACCTCAAACTAAAGTTAGGATAATATAATTGACATTGCTGGATTCCTTGTAAGACCACGAATATTTTGAATATAAATGTCATATATTTTGGACAAAAGATAACATACTTACTCAGATTAAACATTTTATCTAAAAATTGTATGTTTAATGCAAAAAATATGTTGTTTATATTCAAAATGATCACCAAATTATAAGAATTCCAGCAATGTAAACTATATTCTGGCTGGGTAATTTGTATGAATTTTATGAGCTAAAACAGGCAGTCAGGCAGGGTGGCGGGTGGGGGGTGGTGCGAATCTAAAAATAGCTCTCGAGCCGGACACTCACCGCGTTGCTGTGGAAAAATCCGCGTTAAGTGAAAGTTCAGCTTTGGCAAGGCACCGCGTATATGCGAAAACGCGTTAAGTGAAAGCGCGTTAAGCGGGGTCCCACTGTACTCACTAACTGTACATACATTGGCGTTCCCAATCGTCTCGCTTTATTTCTTTACCATTAGTGGTTAGCTACTTCTAGTGTTCCCTTTATTAACATCAAATAAAATTGCTTAAAACATACATATAAATATTAAATTTTTTTTCAATTAAGTTCACTACAGCTACAACCAGTGTCTTATTTTCTTCAGTAGAACCATCGTGTGTTTTAATATTCTACGTATAATTAATGAATTGTATTGTATTGTTCATTTTGCAGATATAAAGATTATTTCAATCAAATACTGTACATATTCAGTAATAAACAATCATGAATCTTTTGAACATATTTTTAAAAAGATAAATGACGGCGTATCCTTAAATGTGCACGTATATGTTGGCGTTCCCAATCCATCTCTTTTTTTTTTCTTTGCCATTAGTGGTTTGCTACTTTTATTGTTCGATTTATTAACATTACTTAAAACATATACTGTATATTGTACAGTCGACACTTCGTTAATTCGGACCCCTTTAATCCGGATTTCAGATAAATCGGACGAAATCTGAACTGTCCATATCAAATTTCTGGTTCTGGGATTGTCCCAGTTGCAATTGGGGTTGCAATTTCAAATTCTGTGTCACTACTAAGAAATAACAAAGTCCCTGGTGCACTCTTAAGATTAAGAGAAAATGGACAACTCATGAGTGCTGAAGTGAGAGAAAATGGACTCCTATGATGGGGCATTCAAATAAAGAGACATGGCTACATGTTTTGTGGACTAGCCACTGTACCATATCCTTTTCATCACATTGTAATAAACCTCGTTATGCCTATGTGTTTCTGATAATTACCATAACATTATATATTTATATATTTAGCGGTTGTACAAACACAAGGCCTCACACATGCCATTCAGACTGACAGACTTGACAAGTTTTACCAACCATAAAGACAGTTGAAGCTTTAAACATCACTCACAATGGATCTTGAATATTCCAACTGTAATCAGACATACCTAAGTTGCCTCAACAATTGCAACCCCAGTTGCAATATCAAATTCTGTGTCACTACTAAGATATAACAGTCTCTGGTGCACTCGAAGATTAAGAGAAAACGGACGACTCAGGAGTTGCTGAAGTGAGAGAAAACGGACTCCTATGACGGGGCACTCAAATGAACATACAGTTTTACCCCGCCTAACGCGGTTTCACTTAACGCGTTTTCGCATATACGCGGTGCCTTGCCAAAGCTGAACTTTCACTTAACGCGGATTTTTTCCACATATACGCGGTGAGTGTCCGAGACGCTATTTTTAGATTTGCCCCACCCGCCACCCTGCCTGACTGCCTGTTTTAGCTCATAAAATTCATACAAATTACCAGGCCAGAATATAATTTACATTGCTGGAATTCTTATAATTTGGTGATCATTTTGAATATAAACATCATATATTTTGCTTTAAACTTACAATTTTTAGATAAAATTTTTTCTCTAGGTAACTATGGTATCTTTTGTGCAAAATATATGACATTTATATTCAAAATATTCCTGGTCTTACAAGGAATCCAGCAATGTCAATTATATTATCCTAACTTTAGTTTGAGGTATTATTTATTAAAATTTAGTGGTTATCCCACACATCTCCTTGGGACGGTTGGTGGGGGGTGGGGGGGAGGGAGGGACCGACCGACCATCTGTTACCCTGTGAAGAATTATTATTTTTTTTTATTAACTGAAGATATTTGTTTTAGCTCATAAAATTCATACAAATTACCCGGTCAGAATATAATTTACATTGCTGGAATTCTTATAATTTGGTGATCATTTTGAATATAAACATCATATATTTTGCTTTAAACTTACAATTTTTAGATAAAATTTTTTCTCTAGGTAACTATGGTATCTTTTGTGCAAAATATATGACATTTATATTCAAAATATTCCTGGTCTTACAAGGAATCCAGCAATGTCAATTATATTATCCTAACTTTAATCTGAGGTATTATTTAATACTAAATGTTAAAAACTCTGGAAGGGAGGATTGGTGGGGGGTGGGGGGGAGGGTTGGGACTGACCGCGCGGTTGGAAGAGGGGGGGAGGCAAGGTGGGGTACTTTGATTGACAGATAGTGTCGTGAAGATTATTTTTTTTTTATTAACTGAAGATATTTGTTTTAGCTCATAAAATTCATACAAATTACCCGGTCAGAATATAATTTACATTGCTGGAATTCTTATAATTTGGTGATCATTTTGAATATAAACATCATATATTTTGCTTTAAACTTACAATTTTTAGATAAAAATTTTTCTCTAGGTAACTATGTTATCTTTTGTGCAAAATATATGACATTTATATTCAAAATATTCCTGGTCTTACAAGGAATCCAGCAATGTCAATTATATTTTCCTAACTTTAGTTTGAGGTTATCCCACACATCTCCTTGGGACGGTTGGTGGGGGGTGGGGGGGGAGGGAGGGACCGACCGACCATCTGTTAGCCGGCTGTGTAGTGTGAGAGGGGGAGGGAGTTGAGTCCATTATTTGAATGGACATTAACTTGGCGACTGTATTTCTCTATTTCTCTTAAGTATTAATTGTGTGCATGTACCATCATAAAATTAAGATGTTATTTTTACTACAACATAGGTATGTGCCTTCAAAAAGTGGAGTTTGGGGGTCGGGCCGGTTTCTATTGGAATTAATCCCATATGTTCTGTTGTTCACTTAACGCGGATTTCACTTAACGCGGGACCCTCTGGGTTCAATTGACCGCGTTAAGTGGGGTACAACTGTACACATAGCTGTATAATGCAATATTAACCCCTAAATCGGTTAATTCGGACAATCGGCTAAAACGGACACCCTTCCCTCCCTATTAGTCCGTTTTAACGAGGGTCGACTGTACTTGTATTATATTTTTTTTACATAAATTTTACTACAGCTACAACCAGGGTCTTATTTTCCTAATTTTCTCGTGTAGAACTATCGTCCCGGTCTCCCGGTTGTAAGCACAAACGAAAACAATGGCGTCCCATCTCCTCTTGTGTGACCATATTATATTCATTTATATTGTATAAGGTGCACTCAGAAACATTATTTAAAGAATATTGTTTGCACTTTTCATTAATTGTATTTTTTGGGGGGAAAAGAGGGTAAAAAGCCACACAAAAGATATGAATAGGTCACACTTAGGAACGCATCTCATTATTATTGCTTTATTTTAATGGTAATTATTGATTCGCGATACGATGATTCACCTTACACTGCAATAATAGAGGACACATTCCCGTCGTTATTCGAGGCTTTACTGCATTGTACAGCGTGTCTTATGTGCTCTTGGTTATCCACAGATGTTCCCTTTACCACTTGGTGGGATGCCTGAGTTATACAGCTAAACTGCCAATGACGATAGAACGGCTTGACCTTGCTGCTGCCCAAGATTTAAGTCCTGCGTTGCCTCCACTGCAGGATCTCCCTAAGCTATACCACTTAGGTATGTTATTTTTCCCTTCTGCAGGAGTGGTAGGACCTGGATTTTCTAGCTGTCACCTTTATCTAGATAGCTTTTTTAAAACAGTGCAACTTACTAGAAGCGTTATGTCCTTAAGGTCAGTCCCCTATAATATTGTTGTCGTGTTCACCATATTATGGCTATTTTCTATGCTTGTGAGGGTCAGCCATGAGTACCTGAGAGCATGGTCTGGGTTTTGTTGCCATCAGAAAAAATTGAGGCAAGTTTTACAGTTGGGTGCCCTTCCTATCACATACCCAATTTTACGGAGTGGGAGCTGGGCATTATAAGTTTATTGTGGACCCCATACTCATTCTGTGAGCAATAGTGCAAAAAAGTATTGCTTAGTGAACCTAAGGGTGTAATCCATGGGTCAGGTATCAAAACCCTCCCGTCCCCCTCTCCTGGGGATTTATGGAGTCCATGTTTTTTGGGTTGTCTGAGCCATGTCCTTTCAGTATCTTTTTGTTTGCCAGACACATTCCTCTGGAATAAGAATTGGACCCATGTTATGTAAGAGCAACATGACGTCCAAATCTTTGCAACCTGACAGAGGCAATAAAAAGCTGTCTTGACCTATTTTACTAGAATAAAAATAAATGTGATTTACATTTCACAGTTATTATTCATCTTTTAAAGCGTGACGGAAAATGCTGTGGCAAAACAGTACTTCATATCGACAGTAAAGGCATGGCTTTACTCAAAGTTGAGACAGGAAAAATAAATTTACATAATCTAGTTATCATACTCACTTATACATTCAAATTTTTTTTGACCGGTTTTACCAAAATTGAACTAAAATGTGTTTCACATATGAAAATTTTTACGAGTTTCATTCATCTTCAAGTTCAAAAAAAATTTCAGTGGAAATGTCTTCAGTTTCAAAAGACCAGGTATGATTTTACTCGGTTGGGACTGTAGAAAAAATCACAAAATCTAGTCATCATGCTCAAGGATGTAGTCCATGAGATTACAAAATTCTGTGTCTTCTTCATCCTCATCTGTCTTCTTTGGGACTTATCACCACATCCACCAGCTCTTGTGGCATGACGGTACCTGTCCACTTGAACTTCCAATTTTCCTTCTGTAAGTTCCCAACCATGAGCTTCTGGTGTAGTCATAGCTTGGGTTGATTTGGCTGACTGATTCCAAATATGAGCTTGATAATTAGCCCTTTTGATGTGCATTTTCAAGGAATCCCTGCAAGGAGGAAGAGGGCTCATGTCCATTCCATCGCAACTTGTCAGCAATGCTCCGTGTTTGCTACTGAATCATTCTTGGAATTTCTTATGCCTCAGTTTGTTCAATTCAATTTCAATATTTATTCCTTGATATAGGAAGCAGGATTCTAGTGCTGTCACTAGGTACCCCTATACAATAACACCAGAAGCATCTGGCAAGTGTCACAAGTACAGTGGTCCCTCGGTTAACGAACACAATTCGTTCCAGAAGGTCGTTCGTTAACCGAAAATTTCGTTAACCGAAACCATTGTTTCAGTGGGATTTTGGGTAATTGGTTCCAGCTCACCGAAAATTACATACAATGTAAAAATAAATGCCGTAAAGTACACTTACTTTGAGGTGTGTATGTAGAAGGCTCCTGGTTGATGATGATGATGATGATGGGAATCACAAGTGGGGGTGGAGGAGAAGGGAGAAGAGAAGGAAGTGGGGGTGGAAGAGAAATCACCCCATGCTTCATGCCATCATTTCATCCATAAAATTTTAAGTTCACTAGGTGTAATTCAAGATTATTTTCTTTAAATCAACACTGCACTATATATTGTCAATATGTAAAATAAATTTCAGAATGACCAATACAGTACAGTAATTGTACTGTAAAAACGTAAAAATAGTTCTCCGTCAGGGGGTTGTGGAGTGGTGGTCCAGCAGGCGTTATGGAAGCGTTGTGTGTGGGGACATCTTAGGAGGTAGTGGACAAGGGTGCGGCTGTCGGGTCTTCTGCATAATGCACAAGAGCGTTGCTCAGGGGATGCGGGGATACCAATCTCCCAAGCAAAGTCATACCCAATGATGATACGGGCAGCAATCACATCCATTTTCCGCGACCCTATCCCATAGACATACGAGAGGTCAGAAAGTTTACGGAGGACATCGTACCAAGTGGGCGGGGAGTCCAGGGGGATGGCTGCTTCCCGAGCTTTCTCTGTTTGTGGCGAATTTGGGTTATAAGCTGTAAAAGTGTTCGAGGAACAACATTGTCAGGTGTGGCCTTGTCACAACCAGTTTTGGCAAGGCCATCTGCTGCCTCATTCCCCAAGATAACGACATGACTGGGTACCCATAGGAATGTCACAGGACGGCCTGCATCCTGAAGTGTGGATGTTAACCCTCGTATTCGGAGGATGAGGTCCTGATTTTCCCTTGATCCAAATGCGATTCCGTCGAGAGCAGACCTGGAATCGCAGCAGACAAGCAAGGGGCAGAAACCATCGGCTTCTTCCTCAACGAGAAGGATAGCAAGGAGGGCTATCAGTTCAGCCTGAGTGGAGGATGCCTCGTCAGAAACTCTGAGAGAAAGTTTGATAGGCTCAAGGGGAATCAGGGCGAGAGATGTAGACACCAGCTTCGGCCCTACCTGTAGCTGGGTCAACAGAGCCATCAGTGTAGAGGACGACCCTACCTGGGGACCAGTGGGAAAATCCTGGAGAGGTGGTATTTGCAGAGAATAACAGGATTCATGTGGGATTTCGGGAGCGGTCCACCGAGGGCAATCACTTCAGGTTGAAAATCCAGCCAGGGAGAAGAAGACGAACCAACAGCAGGGAGTGACAACAATATCAGGCAGGAGGTCGTGTTCCTGAAGGGCTCGGATGAGTGACCCTCGCCACTGTCTTCTAGATCAGTGGTTCTTAACCTTTTTTGAGTCACAGACCCCTTTGAGAATCTGGTGAAAGCTATGGACCCCCTTCCTAGAAAAATGCACATAAGCACATAAACACAACTTTGCATGCAATGAATATACAGTCAACCCTCACTTTACGCGGTCCCACATTCCGCGTTTCCACGTTTACACGGTGCCCTGCCAGAACCCAGGATGCTCACATGCCGCGGTGGGTGTACCCCTTTACGCGGGTGAAGTATAATTTTTTTATTTAGCTCATAAAATTCATACAAATTATCCGGCCAGAATATAATTTACATTGCTGGAATTCTTTCAATTTGATGATCATTTTGAATATAAACATCATAGATTTTGCATTAGACATACAAATTTTAGATATAATGTTTACTCTGAGTAAATATGTTATCTTTTGTGCAAAATATGACATTTATATTCAAAATATTCCTGGTCTTACAAGGAATCCAGCAATGTCAATTATATTATCCTAACTTTAGTCTGATTTATTATTTATTACTAAAAAGGTAAACAGTCTGGTATTCCCACACATTTATCTGGCAGGGAGGGTTGGTGGGGGGTGGGAGGGAGGGAGGGACCGGCGACCGACCACCTGGCACGTGTGAAGAATATTTTTTTTTTTTATTAACTGAAGATATTTGTTTTAGCTCATAAAATTCATACAAATTACCTGGCCAGAATATAATTTGCATTGCTGGAATTTTTACAATTTGATGATCATTTTGAATATAAACATCATATATTTTGCATTAGACATACAAATTTTAGATATACAGTACAGTGACCCCTCTTTTAACGAACTCAATCCGTTCCAGAAGGTAGTTCGTTAACCGAAAAGTTCGTTAACCGAAACCATTGTTTCAATGGGTTTTTGGGTAATTGGTTCCAGCTCACCGAAAATTTCCTAAATTCAACAAAAATGGTAGAAAAGTTCACTTACTTTGAGGTGTGTATGTAGAAGGCTCCTGGATAATAATGATGATGATGGGAATTAGAATGGGGGTGGAGGAGGAGGGAGAAAAGAAGGCATTGGGGTGGAAGAGAAGTCACCCCATGGTGCCATTTCACCCATAAAATTTTAGTTCTCTTGGTGTAATTCAAGATTATTTTCTTTAAATCAACACTGCACTGCATTATATATCGTCAATATGTAAAATAAATTTCAAAATGACCAATAATTTGCTTGAAAACACAGAAAAAAAGCGTTCAGTTGAAGAGTCTCAAGCAAGATGTTACCTCCAGTGAAAACAGAGAGACTAACACCTGTTTGCTGTGTTAAGAGGCTGGATGCTGCGCATTAAACTAGTCACTTTACCTTCAATTATGTTAAATAATTGTTAAAATGACTAAAAAATTGAATATTAAACTTTTAAAATTATTGAACAGTATAAACTTCTTGATATTTACTAAAATAGTAAGGAATTTAAGCCCTAGAACCGATTAATGTATTGGCGGACTGATACTAAAGCTGGTTGCCCAGTCAGTGCAAGCGAAAACATGTTGAGGTCGGTTCGTAAGAAATTCGTTAACCGAATTTTTGTTCGTTAACCGAATTGAAGATCCTTATGGAAGGCAGTTCGTTAACCGAAATTTTGTTAACCGAGGCTTTCGTTAAACGAGGGGTCACTGTAATGTTTACTCTGAGTAAATATGTTATCTTTTGTGCAAAATATATGACATTTATATTCAAAATATTCCTGGTTTTACAAGGAATCCAGCAATGTCATTATGTTATCCTAACTTTAATCTGAGTTATTATTTAATACTAAATGTTAAAATCTAGTTTTTTCACCCAACCTTTCTCTTGAAGGGAGGGCTGGTGGGGGGTGGGGGGGAGGGTTGGGACGGACCGACCATCTGGCGTGGTTGGAAGAGGGGGGGAGGCAAGGTGGGGTACTTTGATTGACAGATAGTGTCGTGAAGAATATTTTTTTTTTTTATTAACTGAAGATATTTGTTTTAGCTCATAAAATTCATACAAATTACCCGGCCAGAATATAATTTACATTGCTGGAATTCTTACAATTTGATGATCATTTTGAATATAAACATCATAGATTTTGCATTAGACATACAAATGTTTACTCTGAGTAAATATGTTATCTTTTGTGCAAAATATATGACATTTATATTCAAAATATTCCTGGTCTTACAAGGAATCCAGCAATGTCAATTATATTATCTGACTCCTTGGGGGTCCATGGACCCCAGGTTAAGAACCCCTGTTCTAGATGGAGGTCGGCCTCGGACAGCAGGAGTCAAGTTGGCTTGGACATAGTTGCCCCAAGGATCCCGTAGAATGGAAATGGTAGTTTTTAGGTAAAACTCCTGGACACAATCCTGTAAGGGGGAAAGACCAAGTTCGGTATACAGTCAGTCCTCAACTTACGGCGGGGTTAGGGACCAACGACCAGGTCATAAGTCAAAAATGCGAAAATAATACATAGAAAATCTAAAATGGGTGTTTCTTTTTCTTCTCAGCACCTTGAGAACTCTCACTTTTACGCTTGCCAGCCATATTAAAGGGAATTACTAATGAAAATTTTGTCAGTACACAGTGCGATCACTAACGTCGGGACTCGAAAATACATAATTTGAAAAATATTTTATACAACTGCGGCGGTCGTATGTCCGGGTGGTAGTAAGTCAAGGAGTACCTGTATATTGTTATGCCGAGGTATAATTTAGTATTATAATTTTTGTGAACTCGGTGTTTTGACTTTTCTATTTCAAGTAGCAGTTATTTTTGCAAGTTTTGGGAGATTTTCTTGTATATATTGATGTATTACTTATGTAAGAATTTTGTAGAATGTATTTCATCATTTTTGCAATGATTTATTTACATATTGAAAGTCTATATCATTCTAGAACTCTCCAGGCGTAACTCGTTCCGACCTGCAGCGCCTGGATGTTGCTAAAATGCTCAAGGCATCTGACGAGCTGTATGGAAACACTCACAAGCTGCCTAGGGAGTAGTCATCCATTTCTGTTTAGAGTGTGAAGTACAAGTCTTGTGACAGCTGAAGATAAGTGTGTGCAAGTACAGTATTGTGGAATTGTTGTGAGCAATAAAAAGTGGAAAGACTAAGGAATTGTACACTGGTAGTGTGCTGACTATACAGTGACCCCTCCGTTAACGAACTCAATCCGTTCCAGAAGGTCGTTCGTTAACCGAAAAGTTCGTTAACCGAAACCATTGTTTCAATGGGTTTTTGGGTAATTGGTTCCAGCTCACCGAAAATTTCCTAAATTCAACAAAAATGGTAGAAAAGTTCACTTACTTTGAGGTGTGTATGTAGAAGGCTCCTGGATGATGATGATGATGATGATGGGATTTAGAATGGGGGTGGAGGAGAAGGAAAAAGAGAAGGCATTGGGGTGGAAGAGAAGTCACCCCGTGGCGCCATTTCACCCATAAAATTTTAGCTCTCTTGGTGTAATTCAAGATTATTTTCTTTAATTCAACACTGCACTGCATTATATATTGTCAATATGTAAAATATATTTCAAAATGACCAATAATTTGCTTGGAAACAGAAAAAAAGCGTTTAGTTGAAGAGAGTCTCAAGCAAGATGTTACCTCCAGTGAAAACAGAGAGACTAACGCCTGTTTGCTGTGTTAAGAGGCTGGATGCCGCTCATTAAACTAGTCACTTTACCTTCAGTTATGTTCAATAATTGTTAAAATGACTAAAAAATTGAATATTAAACTTTTAAAATTATTGAATAGTATAAACTTCTTGATATTTACTAAAATAGTAAAGGAATTTAAGCCCTAGAACCGGCTAATGTATTGGCGGACTGATACTAAAGCTGGTTGCCCGTCAGTGCAAGCTTAAAACATGTTGAGGTCGGTTCAGAAGAACTGTTAATCAATTTTTTTCGTTATCCCAATTGAAGATCCTTCTTATGAAGGCAGTTCGCTAATCTAAATTACGCTAACCGAGGTGTTCATTAAACTAGGGTCACTGTATATTATACGTATGAGAAGCCCAGTTGTGAAGATATACTTTAGAACGTATATATTGTACCTAATTGAGTAGCCCATTTGTGAAGACATACCCTGTGAACAATTTTGTGAAGATCTAGTGACAACTAAAAGAGAATACAGTGCACAAGTGTGTTTCTGTGACCTCGCGGGAATTCTACCTGCCTGTTGTTGCATGTTCATCGATACCGACCGCCGGGAATTTAACAGACTGGTGGGACAGCCAGTGGTAATTCACTCCATTACCCTTGTGATATATCTATTGTAAACGCCTTGGTTAAGGACGCTCAGGTGACGGGCACCAAGGAATGATGAAACCCGCTTTTGGACGTTATCCAATATTTATTGATGTGATCAAACCTCCAGAGGAGAAGGCATTCATAATATTACATGGTGATCCATCTAATACAATTACTGGATACATAATTAGTTAGTGTCAACAATTTTTAATTACAATTCTATTAAACATAGTGACACACAAAGTTCATAACTCTATTAATCTTAGCTACACTTCATTCCGGCATTGTCTTATTACCTGTGATAAGGCAGAAACGAAAAGTATAATTAGTCAACAATATTTCAGTACTGGGGTATGTCATCACTAATGCTGTTCTGATAAGTGTGGGTCAATGCTAACCAGTATGGTGTTCTAAGGGACAATAGTATTCGCATAAATTTTCCTGTGTCAAATTCTCGGACAGGACTGTGAGCCAGTGTTCACTAGTGCGAGCAGAGGGCTGGTCTTCATAGCATCACTAGAGAGGATGATCTCCCTCATGGTGGGGAGGGCAGCACTGCCACCCAAGGCTGGTAGACCATCCACTCAGCAGAACCAGGATTTGTCTGTAAACATTTATACATCTGGCGAGGTCACAGGTCGAAAAGACTTAATGCAACACACGCCAGCATTCAGAAGTTGAAACCAGCTGCACAATATCTACTGCTTCTTTATATACGCATCTGACTGCTGGTGTGTAACCAGTGGTGGAAGTTGAGAAGCGTGAAAGGGGTTCATAACAATATATTTTCAGTCTTTTTGCTGCCATAAACTCACATCTCCTAGTTTGGTATCTTGTTTTTCTTAGCAACTTCCCTGTTTATAGGTGCTTTAGTTGAGCTTGTAGGATTACATCTCCATTTTTCTGGCTTTCTTGGATTTCTGGAGGTTAGTACTGTACAGTAGTACTGGGTATACTATTCATACAAGTTTAAAGTTATTCGATGGCCTTGGTCAACTCCAATATAATTGCAGAGCCAATCCTTTTATTTATTTTTTTCTTATAAGTCTTGGTGCTCCTTTTCATTTACAGTAGTGTATATTACAGTATGGAATATTAGTGATAAATAAGATCATATATAAAGACATTTTGTACACGTATCATTTCTTTATGCACACAGATGTTCACTTGCTCCCCTGAGTTGATCCAAAATGATTTTGAATGCCTACCCTCACAACCAATAAGCAGTGGCATCAAGCTTTTTCTGTACAATGTAGATGATACAAAAGTAGAGTGGGCCAACAGAGATGGTGCGGGCACTGTATCCTGTGCAAGGGTAAATAGTCCTTTGTTTTATGTATTTGTAGGCTTTTATTTTTTATTTTACAGCAACATAATTGTCTTATGTCTCAAAAATACCATTTTTCAGTTTGTCTCAAATTGGGGAATGTGTATTTCTTGGTGTTGTTGACATTTAATAAACTTTTAATTTTTTTTTTTTTTATTGTTAACATTGTTTTCATGGGATCTACCTTTTACAAAAATATTACACATTATCTTGCTTCAGCATTTCCATCTTTTCTGTGTGTCCTGTATTTATAAGAGGCTTTTTGATTAAAAAGAAATTTATATAGGTTTTGCCTTTATTGTGTGAATAAGACCATTTTTAATTGTAATTTATTTTGAAGCACAGCTGTGGGTTTGGGGATACCTACCTCACAATTACTTCGTCCATGATCAGTATATATTTATTTAATTTTTGCCTATCATTTGAGCCATCCTGATGTCTTGAGACATACTTATACACTGTTGTTCCTGCAGAAAATAATACACTGGCTTTTGGCATTTAAAGGAATCAGTTAAGTCCTAAGGGGCAAAGATCTGGTGGATGCCTTAGCAAAACAATGATACACTTATGCAAAATTGAGGCCAAACATCTGGACATCTCCTCCCAGCATCACTAGTACTGACAACACTGACCTGCCAAGTTACACCAAGAGGAAACTGCCAAAGTGCAATTTTAATTAAGAATGTAAGTTCAGTAGCAGTTTCCAGAATCCTGTTTACTACTTACCATCATCAATCTATTTCTCTCCCAGATCATTTCACACATTATTTACCTATTTTACCATTCATTTAACCCAGTATATATCCATAACTCTACACTCCCCAAGTAACACCTCAACAATTGTCACACTCCCCAGTGCATATTTCAACATCCTTACATTCCTCCCATTATACTAACACTATAACTTTTGTACCCTGGGGAAAACTAAGTTGGGGCTTACCATTAATTTTTAGCCGCATAATTACATTAGAGATTCAATAGATCCTTGACGATGCAAGATTTGTTGTGATGCATTTTAAATCAGATTGGCAAACAAGCAGAGAACCCTTTCTTTATTATATATTTGTCTCTCCACATCAACTTGTTCCCATCTAATATTCAAGTTTCTTATACCCCTTCAGCCAAGCATCCTGGCATCACTGTATGTCTACCTATACAATATATCAAAGTGTTGTACAACTTCACAGATACTATATTCTGTAAAGGATCATAATACTGCTGGGTTATGGTGTAAGTGCAATTAACCAAAATTATTAATATCTCAGAGGGGTTTATCCCAAACTCACCTCGCACTAGATCAATGGTTCTAACGCTTTTGGAGCTACAATCTAACTCTCCTGACCCTCCCATGATAAACCTTTGAGTACATAGCACCCACTCCCTATGATAAACTCCTTTTGAATACATAGCACTCCCCTCCATATAATAAACCTTGAATACATATACCTCCTCCTGTTCCTATGATAAACCTTTGGAATACATAGCACCCCCTGTTCTATGATAAACCTTTGAATACATAGCACCCACCTGTTCCTATGATAAACCTTTGAATACATAGCACTCCCTCCAAATGATAAACCTTGAATACATAGCACCCCCCCATTTCTATGGTAAACCTTAAATACATAGCACTCCTCCCTATGAGATAAACCTTGGAATACATAGCACCCTCTTCCTATGATAAACCTTGGAATTGGTGGCACCCCCTTCCCTATGATAAACCTTGGAATACATAGCACCCCCATTCCTAAGGATAAACCTTGAATACATAGCAAGTAATCACCTCCTATGATAAACCTTGAATACATAGCACCTCCTCCCTATGATAAAACCTTGAATACATAGCACCCCCCATTTCTATGGTAAACCTTAAATACATAGCACCCCCATTCCTATGATAAACCTTGAATACATAGCACCCCTTCCTATGATAAACCTTGAATTCATAGCACCCCTTCCTCTATGGATAAACTTGAATACATAGCACCCCCCATTCCTATCATAAACCTTGAATACATAGCACCCACCTCCCTATGATAAACCTTTGAATTCATAGCACCCCCGTCTTATGATAAACCTTGAATACATAGCACCCCCCATTCCTATGATAAACCTTTGAATACATAGCACCCCCTGTTCCTATGATAAAACCTTGAATACATAGCACCCCTTCCTATGATAAACCTTTTGAATACATATAGCACCCCTCTTCCTATGATAAACCTTGAATACATAGCACCCCCCTTCCTATGATAAACCTTTTGAATACATAGTGCACTCTCCCTATGATAAACCTTGAAAAACATAGCACTTCCCCTCCCTATGATAAACCTTGGAATACATAGCACCCCTTCCTAGTGATAAACCTTTTTGAATACAGCAACCCCTTCCTATGATGATAAACCTTGAATACACATAGCACTCCCTATGATAAACCTTGAAAACATAGCACCCCCTTCCTATGATAAACCTTGAATACATGCACTTCCTTCCTATGATAAACCTTGAATACATAGCACCCCCTTCCTATGATAAACCTTGAATACATAGCACTCCCTCCCTATGATAAACCTTTGAAAACATAGCACTCTCTTCCTATGATAAACCTTGGAATACATAGCACCCCCTTCCTATGATAAACCTTGGAATACATAGCACCCTCCCTATGATAAACCTGAAAACATAGCACTCCCTCCCTATGATAAACCTTGAATACATAGCACCCCCTTCCTATGATAAACCTTGAATACATAGCACCCCTCTTCCTACATGATAAAACCTTGAATACATAGCACTCTCCTCCTATGATAAACCTTGAATACATAGCACCCCCCTTCCTATGATAAACCTTGAATACATAGCACCCCCCATTCCTATGATAAACCTTTGAATACATAGTACCCCTGTTCCTATGATAAACCTTGAATACATAGCTCTCCCCTCCCTATGATAAACCTTTGAATACATAGCGCACCCCCATTCCTAAGTGATAAACCTTTGAATACATAGCACCCCCATTCCTATGATAAACCTTGGAATACATAGCACCCCTTCCTATGATAAACCTTGAATACATAGCACCCCTGTCTTATGATAAACCTTGGAATACATAGCAGCACCCCCTTCCTATGATAAACCTTTGAATACATAGCACCCCCTCTCCCTATGATAAACCTGAACTGAGCACCCTCCCTGTGATAAACCTTTTGATCACATAGCACCCTCCCTATGATAAAACCTTTTGAATACATAGTACCCCTCCCTATGATAAACCTTTTGATCACATAGCACCCCCATTCCTAGATAAACCTTGATCACATAGCATCTCCCCTCCCTATGATAAACCTTGAATTACAGTGCGCACCCTCTCTATGATAAACCTTTGAATACATAGCACCCCCCTGTTCCTAAGTGATAAACCTTTTGAATACATAGGCACTCCCTCCATATGATAAACCTTGAATACATAGCACCCCTGTTCCTATGATAAACCTTGAATACATAGCACTCCCCTCCCTATGATAAACCTTGAATCTCATAGCACCCCTTCCTATGATAAACCTTGAATATAGCACTCCTCCATATGATAAACCTTGGAATACATAGCACCCAATTCCCTATGATAAACCTTTTGAATACATAGCACTCCCCTCCCCGTGATAAACCTTGAATTTATAGCACCCTCCTATGATAAAACCTTGAATACAGGCACCCCCTGTTCCTATGATAAACCTTGAATACATAGCACTCCCCTCCATATGATAAACCTTGAATACATAGCACTCCCCTCCAACATAAACCTTTGAATACATAGTACCCCCCATTCCTATGATAAAACCTTGAATACATAGCACCCCCCCATTCCTATGCGATAAACCTTGAATACATAGCACCCACCTCCCTATGATAAACCTTGAATACATAGCACTCCCTCCCTATGATAAACCTTGAATACATAGCACCCCCTTCCTATTAAGAGATAAACCCTTTTTTCTTGAATTCATAGCACCCCTGTTCCTATGATAAACCTTGAATATAGCACCCCCTGTTCCTATGATAAACCTTGGAATACATAGCACTCTCCAAAATGATAAACCCTTGAATACATAGCACCCCCTTCCTATGATAAACCTTGGAATACATAGCACCCTCCCTATGATAAACCTTTTGAATACATAGCACTCCCTCCATATGATGCAAAACTTTGAATTCATAGCACCCCTTCCTATGATAAACCTTGGAATACATAGCACCCCTGTTCCTATGATAAATCTTGGAATACATAGCACCCCTTGTTCAAGTGATAAAACCTTGGAATTCATAGCACCCCCTCTTCCTATGATAAACCTTGAATACATAGCACCCCTTCCTATGATAAACCTTGAATTCATAGCACCCCCTGTTCCTATAAACCTTGAATACATAGCACTCTTTTGTTCCTGTATGATAAACCTTGAATACATAGCACTTCATCCTTATGATAAACCTTGAATACATAGCACCCTCCCCTTCCTATGATAAAACCTTGAATACATAGCACCCCCTTCCTATGATAAAACCTTGAATACATAGCACCCCCTCCCTATGATAAACCTTGGAAATAGCAGCACTCTCCATATGTATAAACCTTGAATTCATAGCACTCTTCCTATGATAACCTTGAATACATAGCACACCCCTGTTCCTAAGGATACAAACTCAATACATAAAGTACCCCTCCATATGATAAAACCTTTGAATACATAGCACCCTCATTCCTATGATAAAACCATGAATACATAGCACCCCTCCATTCCTATGATAAACCTGAATACATAGCACTCCTCTCCATATATGATAAACTCTTGAATACATAGCATCCCCTCATTCCTAAGGATAAACCTTGAATACATAGCACCCCCCATTAGGGTGTGCCATAGGAGGTGAAAGATCAGCTAAAACTAATGGCCCATCACTTTTTGGTAGATTTTAGTGTATATAAACAGGTACTACTCATTTTCAATATTTTGCAACCTTTAAGAAAATTTAGTTGAAATTTATCGTAAAATCTAACGTATCAGCTGGCATTAGTATTACACCAAATAGTGGAACATTGCTTTAATTTACCTTTTAACAACCCAACTAACAATATTTTTTCTG